CTTCATTTAGTGTATGAGTGCATTGATTAATTAACTTTAAAAAAATATGTTTAATGCCCCAGTGCAGTGGCCTAGCATGCACTGGGATCCCATATGGGAACCAGTTCTAATCCCGGCAGCCCCGCTTCCCATTCAGCTCCCTACTTGTGGCCTGGGAAAAGCAGTTGAGGATGGCCCAAAGTCTTGGGATCCTGCACCTGCCTGGGAGACCCGGAGGAAGTTCCTGGTTTGGATTGGCTCAGCTCCAGCCGTTGCAGCCGCTTGGGGAGTGAATCATCGGATGGAAGATCTTCCTCTCTGTCTCTCCTCCTTTCTGTATAGCTGACTTTCCAATATAAAAAAATAAATAGGGCCTGGCGGCATGGCATAGTGGTTAAAGTCCTTGGCTTGAACGCGCCGGGATCCCATATGGGCACCGGGTTCTAATCCCGGCAGCTCCACTTCCCATCCAACTCCCTGCTTGTGGCCTGGTAAAGCAGTCGAGGATGGCCCAAAGCCTTGGGACCCTGCACCCACGAGGGAGACCCGGAAGAGGTTCCTGGTTCCTGGCTTTGGATCGGCACAGCACCGGCCATAGTAGTCACTTGGGGAGTGAACCATTGGATGGAAGATCTTCCTCTCTGTCTCTCCTCCTCTCTGTATATCTGACTTTGTAATAAAAATAAATAAATCTTTTAAAAATCTTTTTTAAAATTATGTTTAAGACTGATACATAAAAATTACATATATGGAGCCAGTATAGTGCATACTAAACCTTTGCTTGCAAGCACCAGCATCTCACGTGGGTGGCGATTTGTGATCCAGGACTGCTCCGCTTCCCATCCAGCTCCTTGCTTGTGGCCTGAGAAGGCAGCAGGAGACGGCCCAAAGCCTTGGGACCCTGCACCCACAGGAGAAACTCTGAAGAACTTCCTTGCTTCAGACTGGCTGAGCTCCAGCCACCCGGGGAGTGAACCAGTGAATGGAAAATCTTTCTGTCTCTGCTTCCCTCTGTAAATCTGCCTTTCCACTAAAAATAAATCTTTATCTAAATTATTTGTATCAGTCAGAGGAACAACTCAGGAGGACAAAAGATTTGCTTTTGGCTTCCAGCTTGGAGGTTCCCAACAGACTGGCATCTGGCAGGGGTGGCTAACTGTGGACATGTGCAGAGGGAGAGTTGTGTGTGCTGGCGACCCGAGAGAAGGCCAGCCCCTCTCTGAGAACTGCCTTTTCAGTACAAGCCCCAAGTGACCTGCAGATGTCTGTCAACACCATCAATAATCCGTTCACTGCTAACCTAAAAATGAAAAACTTAAGTGTTCAATTTTGGGGAGCCAAGTCTGGCTCCATCCATAATAGTTTCATAGAGTTAAAATGAATTCTTACAAACCAGTAAGAAAAAGATGACTGACAAAAAGAAATGGGCAAAAGATGTGAATAGGAACCTCTCCCAAAGAGGATCTCCAAATGTCCCAACGGTGTAGAAAAAGAGGGCTGACTCATCAAAAGTTGCAAACTGAAATAACGAGGCAAACCAGGAAACACCCACCAGAGACAGTAAAGTTCGGACTGTGGGGAGGCTGTGGAGAAACTGCCTGCTGATGGGAGTGTGGATTGGCAGGACCCCTTTGGGAAACTGAGTGGCCATTTTTGCCAAAAGTATTCATCTAACCTATATCCTAGCCACTAAATTCCTTGGTAGATTTACTAGAAAAACAGTTCCTTCAAAATATGTGGGCGTATCTAGTCCCTGTTTGTGATCTGGGAAACCAAGAGAGGATGGTCAGAAGTCTTGGGACCCTGCACTGCCATGGGAGACCCAGAAAAGGCTCTGGGCTCCTGGCTTCGGATCAGTTCATCTTTGGCCATTGTGGCCACTTAGGACTTGAACCAGTGGCTGGAGGATCTTTTTTCTGTCTTTCCTTCTCTTTGCAAATCTGCCTTTCCAATGGAAATAAATAAATCTTTAATATGGGTGTGTGCATATATATGATCAATATGGTGACTGAATTGGTTGATCCTCCCGCTTCAAGTGTTGGGACCCTATGTGGGCACTGTTTGTGTCCTCAGGGCTCCGCTTCCCATCCTCCCTGCTTGTGGCCTGGGAAAGTGGTGAATGGTTGAGTCTTGGGACCCTGCAAATGTGAAGAGGACCTGGAGGAAGCTCGTGGCTTAGGCTTAGCTTCTTGCTTACGTTTAGCTCAGCACTGAATGTACAGCCACTTAGGAAGTGGACCAGTGGATCGAAGATTTTTCTCTCTCCTTTTCTCTGTAAATCTGGTTTTCCAATAAAAATTAACATTTTTTTATAAAAGTATGTGGGTAAAGAGTACCTACAGAAGGACTTTTTAGGATAGACAGAATCAATGTCCATCAAGAATAAATTGTAATATTGCCACATGATGGAATGGTATTTAAAAGTTAAAAACAAGAAAAACAATGGGTCCAGCACTATGGCATATAAGCTTAAGCCTCTGCCTGTGGTGCCAGCATCCCACATGGGTGCTGGTTCAAGTGCCTGCTGTTGCTCTCTGCTCCAGCTCCCTGCTAATGCTCCTAGGAAAGCAGCAAAAAAAAAAAAAAAAAAGGCCCAACTCCATGGGCCCCTGCACCCTCATTAGAGACCCGGAAGAGGCTTCAGGGTCCTGGCTTCAGTTTAGCCCAGTTGAAGCTGTTATGGGCATTTAGGGAGTGAAGCAGCAGATAGAAGATCTCTCTTTCTGTCTCTTCTTCTCTCTGTAAATCTGACACGCCCCTCCCAATAGATTTATTTATTTTTATTGGAAAGGCAGATATGCAAAGAGAAGGAGATATAGAGAGAATTATCTTCTGCCCACTAGTTCACTCCCCAAGTGGCTGCAATGGCCAGGCCTAAGCCGATCAGAGGCCAGGAACCAGCAGCCTCTTCTGGGTCTCCCATGTGGTTGTAAGGGTCCCAAGTCTTCAGGCCAGCTCCTTTCTTTCCCAGGCCACAAAGAGGGAGCTGGATAGTATGTGGAGCAATTGGGACACAAACTGATTCCCCTATGGGATCCCAGTGCATGCAAGGTGAGGACTTAGCCACTAGGCTATGGTACTGGGCCCTGTAAATCTACTTTTCAAATAAAATCCTTTTTTTTTTTTTTTTCTTTTTAAGGACTGTATGGATGGATCTCACAAAAGTATTGAGTGAAGAAAGCCAGATAGAAAAGAGATATTGTGTGGATCCCATTAGATGAAATTCTAGAAAAACCAACAAGCTAATCAAGGATGAATAACGATTGTATAAGAGCATGTAAGCAGGTGATTGCATGTACGTATACATATTTTCAACATTTTCCTAGGGAGAGTACAGAGGAAGAAGTGCTGAACTCTGAATGCAGACATCCAAGAATATTTTCCCAGGGATGTTCCAGTTGATCTTGAGGAGGAGCTTGTCGAAAGATGCTTTGGATCTCCAAGGCACAGACTACCAGGAAACCGGCCTGACTGGGGTAGGAGATGATGGTGGCCTGGAGTGTGAAAGGACCAGAGGGCCAGTTCAGGACACGTAGCCAGCGCGGCCAGCCGTGGAGGGTGACAAGACGACAGGTGCCTTGAGCTGCATGCTCTTCTTTCCCAAGACCCTTACCCTCTGCTAGGAGTGATATGGTGGGGGTGAGGGGGAGGATGGAGCCGCAGGCCGGCGCGCAGGAGAGGAATGAGTCCGTGGGGGGAAGCAAGGAGGGGGCTGTGTTTTCACGGCTGCGCCCAGTGATTCACTGAGGTCGTGCGGTTCACGAGACTGTCTCCCGTTTCCTTCCCTCGAGAGTCACATGGAGATGAGCAGAGGGTGGGTCATCAGGGCAGCGCCGTCCAGGCGGAGGCAGCTCCTCCGGTGGGTGACCGCGGGGGCAGCGGGGCGGAGGCGCGCGCTCTTGCAGCCAGGCGCGGGTGACAGCTGCGTATATACTGGGGCCTCCCGGGTTTCCTGAGGATCCTCAGGCTTTCCGCCCCAGGGGCTGAGGGACCCCAGGACGGCTTCTGCAGGGAGCACTCATCTCCAAGCTCTCTCATCTGGATTCTCGCTGCCACCGACAGGTAACCAAAGGGTCCTAGAGGTAGCGGGCGGGCGGGGCACGAACTGTCAAACCCGCTGAGGCCAGGTGCTGCCTCCAAGCCACACGGTGGCACACGCCAAGAAGGAGTACTCCTAGTCTAGCCTCTCCTGCCAATTCTTCCCTCCAGGAGGCTTTACCTTGCCCAGGGTTAGCTGTCTCCTGATGTGTGGTTACCGTCCTGCCCTGCTCTTTTAAGTCTGACCCTATGATTGTCACGTTTTATCATCACTTTTTATTTTTTTGTATTTTCGGTATTCCCACTAGACCCTAATTTCCTCAGGAAAAGGGTCCCCGTCTTTACCAGTATTGTGTCCCCAGTCCCTAGTGGTCCCTTAATAATATCTGATTGGAAAGGAAAGCTACCTTGGCAGCAGCCAACTAAACAGACACACAGGGACCTCTGCATCTCTTTCTGCCTCCATCACTTTAGCCTCATCGCTTGGAAGTTGCTAGTTGGAATGTTGGCCTGTTGGAATCTCCCCTATATTTTACTGTTAAGATTTCACCTTCCAATTCCATTTGTCTTCTTACACACCAAGTTAGCCACGCTCTTTGCTGCTCTCCAATCTAGCCGGCACTGGAAGCATGTCTCAAACGGCTGTCATTTCTAGGGGGACTGAGGTAGATTGAGGAAGTGAAATCCCAGCTAAGCCATAGCTTGTCTTTAAGATAGTCCAGCTGGCTAGCCTTCTGCCAACTCTACTCATCCCAGTGGCAACTCTCAAGCTGGCATTCCCTTTACGCGTGATTGTCTAGGAAAATTTGCCTTGAAAGGGATTGTCAGCGGTGGGGATGAGGGTAGCGGCTGATTTTGGTGACTGGTGTCTAAACCTGCTGACAATGTCCATAGTGTTTCCCCATTCCACTGTGGTTCTAGGGTTTTCCAACCTCACACTGCTGCCAGCAGGTGTGCTGTGACTTCCGCTGTGACGCTGTTCTCTCCCTGCAGGATGGCATGCTCACGGACCTGCTCCCGCATCCTGGGGCTCAGCCTTGGGACCTCAGCCTTGTTTGCCATGGGGGCCAACCTGGCACTCCTCTTTCCTAATTGGGATGTGATGTACCTGCTGAGGGGCCTCATTGGCAGGCATGCCATGCTGGGCTCTGGGCTCTGGGGAGGAGGCCTCATGGTAAGTGTCTAGGACTTCCTGGGTGTGAACATCCAAAGTATTCCCCAGGGATGGGGCCAGAAATTGATAGGCAAGGAAGGCTTGGATTTCTTGTGGAAAAAAAAAAGCCTGGTGCTGGGAGCTGAAATAGGATCCCTAGCAGCTTCAGGGGGGTTAGGGCTGCAGGAGTTAGCTTGGGCCTAAATAGGCTGGGTGTGAATGTGAGCATCCTGATTCAAATCGGGCTCATCCTACAAAATTGGGTCCCAGGGGTCAAAGCCAACAGCATCATGGAGGTCACCAACTCGATATCAATAGTTGCAGGTAGCAGCTAGAAACTGGTGCAAACACAAATGATTCAATGTGTTCTCAACTTTTTTCTGCAGGTCCTCATGGCAGCTACCCTTATCTCCTTGATGGGCTGGAGATATGGCTGCTTCAGTAAGAGCGGGCCCTGCCGAAGCGTAAGCATAAGATTCTACTCTGCCCACACCACGAACGTTCCCCCAAGCCTGCTGTGCTGGAGGCAGAATGGGAAGAGGCAGTTGTGGTCTATAGGTTTGCTCTCAGATCCTGATCATGCTCCTTGATAGCTCTAAGTTCTTGAGCAAGTTGCTTAGCTTCTCTGGCTTCATGTATCATTTGTAAGTGGGAGTTAAGTCAAAGGAGTAAGAGTTTAGTGAACCATAACTTAAAAAAAAAAAAAGATTTATTTTTATTGGAAAGTCAGATATACAGAGAGGAGGGGAGTCAGAGAGGAAGATCTTTCATCCAATGATTCACTTCCCAAGTGGCTGCAATGGCCGATGCTGCGTCAATCTGAAACCAGGAGCCAAGAGCTTCTTCCAGATCTCCTATGTGGACACAGGGTCCCAAGGCTTTGGGCCATCCTCGACTGCTTTACCAGGCCACAAGCAGGGAGCCGTATGGGAAGTAGGGCTGCCGGGATTAGAACCGGCTCCGATATGGGATTCCGGCTGTTGCAAGGTGAGGACTTTGGCCGCTAGGCTATAGCACTGGGTCTGCAAGCTTTCTTTTTAAGATTTATTTATTTTTATGTGAAAATCAGAGTTACAGAGAGGAAGAGAGAAGCTTACATCCACTGGGTCACTCTCCAAATGGCAATGGCTGCAACAGTTGGCACTGGTCTTTCCAAACTCAGGAGCCAGGAACTTCTTCTGGTTATCCCACATGGGTACAGAAGCCCAAATACTTGGCCCATTGTGATGGAGCTGGCACCCTGATACTTGGCACCCTGGAACTTGAACTGGCACCTAAATGGGATGTCAGCATTGCAGGTGAAAGTTTAACTTGCTATGCCAAAGCACTAGTCTCATAAGTTTTCTTCAAATTATTAAAATACATATTGTTAAGGGTGGAGAAAAAAATTCTAATATCCTAGGAAGCCAGAGGCAAAGCAGACTAGATACCAGCCAAGATATTCAGGTTATTTTGTGGGGAGGGAGTCGCAGAGCATAAATTCCTAAGCAAAGGCACTCTAGGTTGGTTGGAACTGTAGTCATGCCAGAATGTGATCACAATTTTTCCTTCTCCACTAGCACTCTCCCCAATATCCATCCATGTTTGATTTGAGAAAGAGAGGAATCAGGGATGGGAAGCTTAGTAATTTTTAAAAAATATGCTTTTTAGAAAAGTCAGAGGTGGGCATGACAGCTAGTTTGAGCCTTTAACCCGAGGCTGAATGACTGGGGTGTGTGTGTGCGCAGGTTTTTGACACCACCCTGAGAAAGTCCACAGTCTGCAGATCAGGGGGTTGCCATTACCCCCTGCTATAGAACAGGGGAAAATCTGGGAGCCAAAGCAATCACACCTGTCCAGCTCAGCCCAAGTCACCAGTCTCAGCTAGCTGCTTCCTCTCTGTCCCCTCTGCAGATGCTTGCTACCCTGTTGTCAAGTGGCCTGGCTTTGCTCGGAGCCATGATTTGCTTTATCACTTCTGGAGTAGCCCTGAAAGATGGTCCTTTGTGCATGTTTGACGTCTCATCCTCCAATCAGACACAAGCTTGGAAATATGGTTACCCTTTCAAAGACCTTCATAACAGGTAAATGGATGGACACTTGAATTTGCAGCTCCCTTCTCCAAATTCACAAATGGTTGGAAAACTCCTTTGGGGTCACATAGTCTAGCATCTTGCCCCTTTCGTGTGCATATAACTCATAAAATAAAATGAATCCAGTCCTATGACCTAGGATAGCAGGGGTCCCCGTTTCCAAGCTTTCCTTACTTCCCAATCACTGATCTTCATATTTTGTGGGGACAGGAATTACTTGTATGACCACTCGCTGTGGACCTCTGTGTGTCTGGAACCTTCTGGAGCTGTGGTTTGGCACGTGTCCTTCTTCTCTGTCCTACTGTGCATCAGCCTCCTCCAGCTTCTCCTGGTGGTCATTCACCTTATCAACAGCCTGTTGGGCATCTTCTGCAGCCTCTGTGAGGAGCGATAGGTAAAGCCTCTATACTAGCTACCTTGACCCCTTCAGCAAGTTCTAAGCATGAACTGTAAACAAGCTCCCTCTTTAGGCGTTCCTGTAATTAGAATGACAACAGTAATTCCTGGCAGGTGGAGTAATCTAATGCATTTCCCCCCCTGCTTGTTTTATTTTTAAATTACTTCTTACTTTTTATTCTTCATAGTATAGTTCCTTAGGCTCAGGGATGTTTCCTCCAACCCTCTCCTGTTCCCCCATGTCCCCAATACCATGCATTTTAAACCACATAGTAAAATTTCAGAAGATGCCCTAATGGGAGGAAACATCAAGTCATGATGGTTGCGTAGGAACATATAGTTGAGAAAATGTCCTCAGTCATGATGCCATTTCAGCTACTTGACAACCCCCAGAAAACTGGCCACATGTTACAGATAGACAGAAGCTGGGTTTCCCGGAGGGCAACAGACTTACCCCCAAAAAAGCACATTGCTGGAATAAGGTAAAGCTTATTTCATCAGTTGTTAAGAACTGAATTGTGTTGTCCCCAAATTTGTAGGTTAAAGCCCTAACTCCCCAGTGTGACTTCACTGGGAGAAAAAGCCAATAAGGCAGTAATAAAGGTTAAATAAAGTCAGAAGAGTGAAGCCCTTGTCCAATAGAACTGATATCCTGATAATAAAAGAGGAAGAGACAGCAGCTCAAGAAAAAAGGTCATCTGCAAACTAAGGAAAGAGACCTCAGCAGAAACCAAAGCTGCTAGTACCTTGGTCTTGGACTTCCTGCTTATGGAACTGTGAAAACAAACAAACCTCAATTTCTACTGCTGAAGCCAGTTAGTGAATGGTATTGTGTTGTGGTAACCGTGCTGAATAATATATCAATGTTAAGCATTCAGTTGAGTTCAGGATGTAGAATACACTGATTGCCTACTGTGTGCCTGGCCCTGCCACATAGGTTGTGGAACCAAAGGAGGTCAGAATGGAGAGATGGACAGACAAAAGGGACAGAAGGAGGTGAGGGAGTCTTGAGGTCCACGTACTGTGTCCAGTAAGCGTCACCTGTGTTTGTCTCACATTCTCCTGTTGGCTGATTTAATTTCAGGTTCACGACTGGGACCCACCTGATCCATAAAAGCTCTCCGTGCAGGAGGAAGGACTGAGGCCTTCACACAATTGGTAGAGAATTTAGAGATACTTTCTATCTAGTTTTGGACCACGAGGCACATGCACACATGGATGAATGCACACTCACATGCTGATGCATGTGCACTCATACACACTGACCAAGTCCACGTAGTTCTTCCCACCCCAGCTGCCTCTTCAGCAGCTCAGCAGGATCTGCAGGTGAGAAGGGTTCATCCTTGGCGCCAAGACATTTCACAGTGGATAGCTGACCTTTGCTTCTATCCTTTCAGCAGTTTCAGATATGGAGTCCGATTAGTCTTCAAAGGACTACTCTGCCTCAGAGAGATTGAAGGTTCTCGCCTTTGAAGTCTGTCCCTAGAGTGTGGCTCCTCTTATAGTTGGTTGCTTCCTAGGTCTACAAGTACACAGGCTCAACAACGGAAGCTGGTGGTTGGTGGGATTTGGTCTAGCATGGAAGGTGCTAGTTAGGATGCCTGAGTCCTGTGCTAGAGTACGTGGCTCTGATTCCTAGATGTAGCTCCTGGTTCCAGTTTCTTGCTAGTGCAACACTGATGGTTCAAGTAGTTGAGTTCTTGTCACCCAAGTGAGAGACCTGGATTGAGTTTCAGTTAACAACCCTGGCCCCCTACTCTGGCCATTAAGGACATTTAGGGAGTGAACCAGCAGGTAAGGGCTCTGTACCTGTCTCTTGCTGTCTCTCAAGTACACGTATGAAAATGAAATTTGGGGATGGAATCAACTTCTCTAATTTTGAAGCGCAGTTCCTCCAGGTGAAGGTGCAACATCCCGAATCCCAGAGATGTTCTTATCTATCTGAATAACTCGTTTACCTTCTGTCTTCACCATTTAACTTAAGAGACCATTTAATGTAAGAATAGAGGGAAGGAAGGGCTATGGAGAGGCAACAGGAAGGAAGTTCTCTACTATAGGACCATGGCTCTCCATACTTGGCTGCTGGCTGCCCTGAACTATTCCAGAGAGCACCTGCCATCCTCTATCTGCCTTCTCCATCCCAGGACCACCTCACATGCAAAATAATAGGCCTTCACTCTGTTTTCCTTCCGCAGAACACTACCTCTGGCTCTTGGTTTGGCTTCCAACCAGGGTGCTAGGCAGAGGACTTGACACTGTCCTTTGCTCACAGGGATAATGTTAAGTAAATTAAGGTGAAAAGCTGGGTCTTACCTTATGTGTGCCTTCTTGAATCTCATCCTGGGAAAACAAGTGTATTTTTTTTTTTTTTTAATAATTAGACTGGCTAGAGAAACGTAGGCTAGTCTTCAGGACGGGTTGACCTTCAGCTCTCAGTTTAGAAGTTAAAGGGTATTTCTCATGCATCTAGTATCCAGCATTGTGGTTCAGAAGACTAATGAGATGCTCAGTCCAACACATACTCATATAATGAACTTTTTCACTAGGACACACGTGGGGCAGTGGGCAATCTTCCAATGGAAATGAACTTTACATGATAGGAATGTGTCAGTATTACATTCCTAATTTGATGGTGTAGTCTTGTTAAGTAGGAAAATGTCCCTGTGGCAGGAGACCCAAAAGCATTGGAAGTGACAGGCTTAGCCATATACTCTCAAATGGTTTAGGGGGAAAAAGTTCATGTATTGGAGTTGCAACTTTTTCCTAAGTTTTAATTTTTAAAAAATTTTGGGGAAGGAAACTAAAGCACGTGCCCAGGAAAACTGCATGGGTAAAGAATTATAAAGATCACAGTTATTGCTAAAACTTTTAAATTCTTTTTTGGGGGAAGATTTTCTCACATGACTGCATATTGTTATTATATTGTTATGTATTACATATTATTATAGGGTATATATTGTACATCACTATATTTAAAATGTGATTTATTCAAGTATATAATCAGGGCCCAGCACGGTAGCCTAGCAGCTAAAGTCCTCACCTTGCATGTGCCCAGATACCATATGGGTGCTGGTTCTAATCCCTGCTTGTAGCCTGGGAAAGCAGTCGAGGCTGGCTCAAGGCCTTAGGACCCTGCACCCATGTGGGAGACCCAGAAGAGGCTCTGGGCTCCTGGCTTCAGATTGGCTTAGCTCTGGCTATTGTGGTCACTTGGATAGTGAACCAGTGGACTGAAGATCTTGTTCTTTATTTCTCCTCTTCTCTGTGTATCAGACTTTCTAATAAAAATAAAACAAGAATCATACAACTTGTATAATTCAGATATACAACTTAATGTTTGTATTCCATACAACTCTGCTCCTGCTCTTATACCAAGTGGCACTTTTGTAATAACTGTCTTAGTCCACTGCTCCCCAAAGTTGTTCGTCTCTTTAAGGTACCAACTTAATTGTATTCATTTTTCTATACCAACCTCTAGCACAGATAGTTAAATAAAATGTTTGTTGAATCATGTATCTAAAGTCTGTGTTTTTTTGATGGACTGCAATGGGTAGAGTCTGCGAAATATTCCTGAAGAAGTCATAAAAGTCAGGGAAAGTCTTCTTCCTAGGGGCATTCTCTTTCTCTCTCATGTCTGGTTAAAGAGCAAAGAAAAAAAAAATGTACTTTGGGTGGGGGGCAGACCAGGCCGAACCAGTTCACATCACCCACTGGCAAGTCTGAGCACCAGAACAGAGTGTGGGACGAGCCAGGTTTGATCGTGACAAAAACCAGTGCACATTACAGAATGCCAAGGTAAAGTGACCTGTGCCAGATATGACTGCAGCACCCAACAGCACATGTGAGAACCAGGGAGGGAGGGGGCGGCCCGGAAAGGGGAATGTGGGGCGGGACTCCCCTGCTGGACAGCTACTCCAACTGGAGAGCATAAGCTGGGATGGGGGCAGACTAGACTAGGCAGGGCTACAACACCTGTGGGCCTCATGTGGACTAGATCAGGGAAAAGCCAGGCTGGACTGATTATTCCTACTGGTGCAAACATAAATTAGAGTGGATGAGGGTTGTCTGGGCTTAGCCACAGCATCAGCTGGCAGAAGCTGCCACTGGGGACTAATTCTGTCAAGTTACTCTGCAGAACCACCTGGAGAGTGCATAATCCGGGAATGGGAGTGGCCTGGGAGGGAAATAGTGGGCTCCTGGGGCTGTGGTGGCTAAACAGAAAGGCACCCAACATCATGTGTGTGGGCTTATAGTGGAGCTGGTTGGGTTGAACTAGGCTTCAATGCCCATTGACATGTATGAGAGCTGAACGGGATGTGGGACAGACTGGACTAGTCTGCTGTACATAATGGCAAGCATGGGAACTAGGGTAGGGGGCAGGCCTGGTGGGGTTATTGTTGGTCACTCCAACTAGGCTGCAGCTCCCACTGGTTTATGTGAGCGCTGAGTGTGTGCTGGGCAAAACCAGGCTGGACTGCAACACCCATTGGTTCCAGAGGAGGACAGGGCTGGACACAAAACCAACCCAGCAATTGCAACCACCAGCTGATTGTGGTGATGGACTGTGCCGGGCCCTGTACTTGCAAGTACACACAAGAATCTGGTTTGGGAACACCTCAGACAAAGTTTATTTGGGGATCCCCCCCATCGAACTGCCAGACTCAGAACCCTAACCATGAAAAGACAGAGGACAGAACAAGTCAACTACTTCAGTCAGTCAACTACCTCAGCCATGTTGGCAGTGGAAAACTGGGCAGACAGACTCTAAGATGGACTATGTCAACCAGTGGTTTCTTCAGCGATTTCTTTGTGATTGGAATGTTGAGACTGGCAGCAATTCATAACTGTTGAACTATCAAGACCACTTGAGCAAGACCCTCAGAACATGCCCCACATTGGGGACCTGAGATGGGTGGGAGACTGGGTGGGGCTTCTCCCTTTATCTCCCCCTTTACTCCAGATACATGACAGAAAAAATGTGGAAATAATAGTCTTATCCACTTTCCTGTAGCGCTTGAATCTTTTTGCCCTAATTAGCTATGTAAAGAATATAAAAAATAAATTAAAAATATATACTGCATAATCCAACCAGACAATGGACTTCTGTACCAGATGAAATTTGGGCTTACTGGGCCCGGAGCGGTGGCGCAGTGGTTAAGGTCCTCGCCTTGCACACGCCAGGATCCCATATGGGCGCCGGTTCTAATCCCGGCAGCTCCACTTCCCATCCAGCTCCCTGCCTGTGGCCTGGGAAAGCAGTTGAGGACTGCCCAAAGTCTTGGGATCCTGCACCCGCATGGGAGACCCGGAAGAGGCTCCTGGCTTCGGATTGGCTCAGCTCCAGCCGTTGCGGCCGCTTGGAGAGTGAATCATCGGACGGAAGATCCATGTTCCTCTCTGTCTCTCGTCTCTGTATATCTGCCTTTCCAATAAAAAAAAATCTTAAAAAAAAAAAGAAATTTGGGCTTACCTTTGGATCATGACTTATGCCAGATATGGCAGCTCCTGTTGAGTCCACGGGTATCCAGGGGTAGCAGCAGGAGGTGGGGCTGTACTGAAGTGGTATAAGATGTGTCCCTGAGCCTGTGCCTTTGCAAGCCAGCCAGGTCACAAAGAATTTTATTTACAAGCAAAGAAATGTGAGTGCTGAGGGAATAGCCACATTTAGTTACTGAACAATTTCAAGCAGTGACAAAGGAAAGCGACTTTTGGTAGCAGTTAGAAAGGTGGACTGGAAGGTGAGGTTGGAGTTTGCTGGAGTCAGGGAGATCAGTCTGGACATATCATCAGGAAGGTACTTTGCAAACTATAGTCTGAAGCAGTAAAATTAGTCTGTAGTGGAACTACCAAGGGAGTTCTAGCATCTGACAGAAGACAAGTTTTGAAACCCATTAATGAATAGGTGGAGAGGACACACGAATGGATGCTATACTCTTAGTGTCCGAAGCTGACAGGCGCTAGGATACCATATCCTTCCAAAACAGGACCAGGGACCTGTGCTTATCAGCAGGCAGTGTCCCTCCCTCTACTCGTCTCTGATTTTTGAACTGAAGCAGCTGTGTGGGTAAGGTGACGCAAGGTCGCTTGCAGGTATCGTAAACTGGCAAGTACAGATTCCAACAGGGCTTTGAAAACTTTCTGGAGGAGACCAGTTGGGCATTGTAGTGCAGCACGTTAAAGTGGTGTTCGGGACACCTGCATCCCTCGTTGCAGTGCCAGCTCAGGTCCCAGCCCCCCCACACTTTGCTTCCAGCTTTCTGCTAAAACACCTTGTGTAGTC